ATACAATGTTGTCCGGTTGGATAAACAATGGGATACCTCGATTTAGTCCAACACCCTTTGATTTAACTATATTATTTCGTAACTCTACTATATTAATAGTTAATAGGATCGATCAATCATCTCAGTGAAATTAGATGATATTAGAGTGAACTTATGTCGGTTTATAGGATTTGATAAGTTCATTATTATTAATATAAGCTTATGTCAAATGAATTAATCATCTCATGGAATCAATGTTATAGAAATTCTACAAGCATTATCAAAAGACAGTATGTCTAATGTCTAGTAACTATAGTTTTTTGTCCGGAGATTTAAAAGTTATTATGCTAATGAATTAGTTATCCCTTGATTGACATCCTATGATGTGTCCGTGAAATCTTATTAGCTCCATTTTAGTAGCAGGCATAAAATTTAAAGTTTGTTGGCAGTCATGTTCATGAGCATATGTATGAGTTTAAGCTTGGGTCAACGAAAAGCATGCCCCACATTTTGTTGAGGGAAGATTAGGCCTCTTCAATGACAATTTGGGTTTTTGGAAAGCATCCTTGTCAACTTTGACATTGACATGACTTGACATGTAACCATTCTTTTAACATTCCATGAATCCTTCAGTCTTAAGTCTTCACCTACTTTTTGATTGTATCTCAAGTCAAATACAAAGAATACAAGAACTATCCATATAAAAGGTCAAACCTGACCACTCTGATCACAAAAGAATTATCTCATCCTTGTCAGCCTAGTTTATTTTTTTATTTTAATATTTTGAGAAACCAATTACATGTTCTTAAAATTTTCAGAAAAAAAGATTTTGTTATTTATTTAAAAATTCAATCTTTTTTCTTCCCTTTTTCCAATACTATTCTAAGAAAATAATTCTTTTTTTTTTCCTAATTTTTAGTTGATATTCCCAGGTGTTTAACAAGTGACTAGTAAGCCTACGCGAATGAGATTTGCTGGGTAAGGATGCATGGAGAATCTAACAATAGATTCGGAGTTCATCATGTCCGCCACCGGATGAAGCAGCTGTCTCTCTCTCTCTCTCTGTCTCTCTCTCTCTTGCACACCTTGAAACATATGCAGCAGCTGCCAACTCCCAACGGCACTCCTTTACCGCCCCATTTATGGAGTCATCTAATACGGCCACCCCAGTGGAGCTCACTTCTCTGTCTCCATCCCCCTTGGATGTCTCTGTCTCTGCCCTTCTTTCATCTCCTCCAAGAGCAATGCAGCCGTTCCATTGTAGCTCAGACCATGGTTGCCACCTTTGGTTCCGTGAAAGGGACTCTGACTCGGAGAGAATGAATCTCCTCGCCTTCACCGCTTCTGATGCCGAGCAGTTGTACCTGTCCCTCGTACGCCCATCACCATCAACCTCAGCATTTATAGGAAGCTGCGGGATGGCAGCAGCTGTAGCCGAGGCGGTCGGGTTGCAATGGAGATAGAAGCACCGGCCTCCTCCTCGGAGCTGCACGTCGCGTCGGCGGCGGCCTACTTGGTGTGGGAGGACGTCACGGCCGTGCTGCCAAACTACGGCGGTGCCCGACAGCCTAAGAAGTTGATAGACGGCCTAAGCGGGTACGCGGTGCCTGGCCGGATCATGGCCATCATGGGGCCGTCCGGCTCCGGCAAGTCCACTCTTCTCGACTCTTTGGCAGGTCTTCTCCTCCTACTCGTATTGTAGCAAGTGATGCTTCTTTAGTTTTGTTGCTTATAAGAGCTGCTCTTCTTCTGTGACTGCAATTTCCAATAGGGAGGCTTGGAAGGAATGTTGTTTTGACCGGAAGGGTGCTTCTCAATGGAAAGAAGAGAAGGTTGGACTACGGTGTGGTGGTACGTTGCTTCCTGTATACTCTTTGGTTCACTTGTATGTCTCAGACATGCTGCTCTGACATCCCTGACTGGAATTCTTGTTGTTGGGAGAATGATACATGATAAGGATTAGAGAGGATTAAGGATGAAATTGTTCGATTTGAAGAAGATAATTCAGATTAATCAGAGCGTAGAACAAAGTGGATATTAAACTTACTAGGATGATAAGGAAAGCAAAACTTTTGTTCTAAATTCAATATTAGTCTATGCAGGAAGCATGACTCAGGGAGAGCTTCCAAGACTACAGCAGTAAATAGATGAAAGGGGGGCAAGATAATTTACTTCTTTGCTAATTCAGATTAACAGGGTTCATTACAACTTCAAAATTTTACACTTGAACCTTCTGGCTTTAGTGCTCTAGTTGCATCGGCATTGATCGGATGTTCTGTTCTACAGTTTTTTCTTCATAGGAAATGGAAAAACTCAAACATTCTTACCAGTTTGACATGTTTTAGGGGAAAAAACACATACAGCCGATATATTTGCTGGTTAAGCTTAAATGTTTGATCTTCAATTTTAATTTAACATGATCATGTTTAGGCTCCATCCTTGAATATTTTTATTTCGCTGCTAAAACCTCATTCTCTTTACATTCCTGATATTGCTTCTCTTTTGGGTAATTATCATCTCAAAATCCTTCCACTCTGATAACTAAAGGAATTCTGCTGCTTTTCTTGATGTTGCTAAAATTCTTCCCGAGAAAATTGCCTTCTCACAATACTTCTTCTATGATAAGTAAAGATTCTTATGCTTGGTCGTATCTAATTCTCTCATAACTCTGTTGATTACCACAGGCATACGTGAGACAAGAAAATGTGTTTCTTGGAACCCTCACTGTCAGAGAAACCATTACCTATTCAGCTCATCTGAGGCTCCCGGCCACCATGAGCAAGAAGGAGGTGGCAAGTGTAGTCGAAGGGACGATAGAAGAGATGGGCTTGCACGACTGTGCCGACCGTGCGATAGGAAATTGGCATTTAAGAGGGATAAGCGGTGGAGAGAAGAAGAGGCTAAGCATTGCACTTGAGATACTTATGCGTCCTCGTCTTCTGTTCCTCGATGAACCAACGAGTGGACTTGACAGTGCCTCAGCTTTCTTTGTGATCCAGACACTCAAGCAGATTGCACTCGACGGCAATAAGACCATCATCTCCTCCATCCACCAGCCTAGCAGTGAAGTTTTTGCTCTCATTGATGACCTCTGCCTACTGTCAGGAGGAGAGGCTGTCTATACTGGAGATGCTAAGCTGGCCACCAAGGTAAGTCGATCTCTCTTTATAATAACTCTTATTGTTTTCCCTTGCTGAATGCCTGGATATGGTATTGTAGTTCTTTGCAGAAGTTGGATTTCCCTGTCCTAGCAGAAGAAATCCTTCCGATCACTTCCTTAGATGTATAAATTCTGATTTTGATCATGTTAATACCACAATGAAAGGCTCAATGAAATTACATGAGGTACGCCTACCAATTCAGTAGTGTAAGATTCCTTTTCATTCTCCAAAGAATCCAGCATAACTTCTGGTGTTCTCATCTTTTTTTGTTCATTAAGGAGGCAGAATCATCTATAGATCCTTTGTCAAAGTTAGGCACCTCAGAGATCAAAGCTATTCTTATCCAAAGATACAAGAGCTCAGAGTATGCCATGGCAACCAAAAGGCAAATACAAGACATATCCAAGATAGTAATCATCTTCCTTGAAACTTATACGAATTTTATTCTTTGGTGGTCGCATGTAAACTGTCTCATTGACATCATGGAAGCACTAAGCTGATAGCCGCACAAAATTTTCGAGTTTTTGAAGTTGATTGATAGAATGCCATATCTGTATTAATTATGTATGATGGAATTTGCAGTCCTTGTTTCATCTTTTTGGGCTTTGATAGTGGCCAAGACCTAACTTCTTAAAATTTTCATTTTATTGAAGGAAGGGCTTATATTTGAATCAGAAAAAGGGAGCCAAGCTTCTTGGTGGAAGCAACTCAGAACTCTCACAAAGAGGTCTTTTGCAAACATGTCGAGAGACATCGGATATTACTGGTTAAGGATCATAATTTACATGGTTGTATCTGTGTGCGTCGGCACCATTTACTTTGATGTTGGCACAAGTTACACTGCCATACTGGCGAGAGCTTCTTGCGGCGGTTTCGTCTCAGGCTTCATGACATTCATGTCCATCGGAGGATTTCCATCCTTTATCGAAGAGATGAAGGTCTTTACATGCGAAAGACAAAATGGCCACTACGGAGTCGCAGCATACATCCTCTCTAACTTCCTCTCCTCATCACCATTCTTGGTTGCAATTGCCTTCGCTAGTGGATCGATAACCTACTTCATGGTGAAGTTTAGAAATGGTTTCTCGCACTTTGCCTACTTCACTATAAGTCTTTACGCCAGCATTGCGGTGATAGAGAGCTTGATGATGATTGTCGCATCACTTGTGCCTAATTTCTTGATGGGCATCATAACTGGAGCTGGCATCATTGTACGTGCATATTTTTGCAGTATTTGAAGAAGGATCAAAGTGACAAATGTGTGACTTTTTATAATGTATTTTCAATTTCAGGGAATTATGATGATGACGGCAGGGTTCTTTCGCTTGCTACCAGATCTTCCGAAGCCTGTTTGGCGATATCCAGTTTCCTTGATCAGCTATGGTTCATGGGCATTGCAGGTAACTGCACATCTGTATAACTTTCTTCTATCCAAAAGTATACATTTGGCGGGATAAAGTACTTAGCTGTTAGAATTTTAAGCGGGTTAAAAATGGAGTTTTATGTTAAGGTACACTAAAAGCTTTCGAGGAAGACGTCATCACTTAATATTTAAATTCCAAACAAACCTTTTCTCTTTGGATATAATGATCTTTAGATTCATATAAGTATCTACTTCCATTATGAAGAGAGAAGTACTTAACTGTAAGTTCTTTAATCTTTTAGTTGTTGTCCTTCTTGGATGGAATCCTTCTCCCCCAATAGAGATAAGGGTTAATCCGTCATTTGAATGATATCCCCTGTACGGTCGGTGAGCTAGAACTGGAAACCTATGTCATACTTGTCGAGGTCTTCAATCATAGGTTTTTGACCCTATTACTGTAAGCATACTAGAGATGTTTCATCCTCATTGTTCATAAACCGATTATATATGCATACAAGAGCTGTTATATCCTCATTGTTCATTGAACATTGTTTGCAACTTCTTTTCCTGGAAGCTTGTAACCATGCATAGTCGATAGGCTTTCTACTTCTCAGGGAGAAGATCTCTGCAATCTAAGAATGGCATCTTTATAGGGCTCTTAGAAGCTGAACTTTTGTGATGTTTCTCTCTTCCAAAACATGCTTATTAGAATGCTGAAGAGAATGGTTTTGTGTAGCAAAAAGAAGTGCATATCAGTTCCACAAAGTTATTGCCTTCAGTGCATAGAAATTGGTTCTTGACCATGTTCTGGATGTCGGCCAAAACAATTCTATACTGCTAACAGAAATATTTAGAAGACATCAAGATTGGTTCTTTCACCTATACATATATGTTCATACTTCTTATGTTCTTAGTAAAGGAACAATAAAAAAACAGATATGACATTGGCCATCTCTATTTGATCCACATGAGTAGCATTCATGCAAGTTTTATATGCCCATATGGGCAAGCCTCTCGGTTGTAGTTAGTCTATTTATCATAAGTTTTAACTAATGGTACGTTGATCGGATTAATGATTACCTTTTAATATCAATTATCATGGACATGGTTTGCGTTCGGTAATCATTAAATGTATTTTCATGAGCTTCTTTTGTTTTTAGGGAAACTACAAGAATGATTTGATAGGGCTTAAGTTCGACCCGTTAATCCCCGGAGATCCCAAACTAAGCGGGGAGTATATTATCGAAAACATCTTCGGAATCAGCTTAAACCGGTCGAAGTGGATAGATCTAATGGCCATCTTCGTCTTGCTCATATCGTACCGAGTTCTCTTCTTTCTTATCTTGAAGCTTAGAGAGAAGATATCGTCGGTGTTCCGAATGATCTACGTGAGAGCAACTCTGAAACAGATAATGAAGCCAAAGCGGAGGACGATGTCCTTCTCGTTGAGGCACTCAACAGAGCATCCCATGGCTTTGGGAGAAGGACTGAGCTCCCCACTTCCATGACATCAACTTCTAGTAGATACTGAAACTGTTAAAGCTGGTGCAGAGCTTGCTATCTATTGTAATAATGCAAGGAGCTTTGCTGTAGGACTTGCTCTCTCAAGTCTTCCTGCTTTGCTTCTTGTTAGGTTGATGGATGCACATTGCTTCATCCATTTACATTATTAAGCATCAATTGCAAAGTGGGGAGTGGTACACAGGAAAATTAAGCCCTGATCTCTGCACGTGATTGAGTCCTGTATATATATATATATATATATATATATACACACACATTAAGCAGGTTTTAGTTGATCCAAATATAATCCTACATATTTGCAATAATGATAAAAAGTATGACAGATCATTGTGGATTCATCCCATAAATTTTTTTTGACCCATTTACTACAGATTGAATCATTGAAATTTTATCCCATAATTTTTTTATAAAAAAAACATCAATTAATTAAACTGATAAAAAAAAACATTGATCCTCGACAGCAGCAGAGCCCTACGAGAAAATCTCATCTCATCTTCACCGGTCGTAATCAAAATCTCTCATCTTTTGTATTTTACAATAATTAAGCATGTAAAGATTGGATTAACACCATAATTTGAAAATTAAGGCCTCATGTTCTGCATGTTTTTTCTTTTAATTTTTTAAATGAATAATTTTCTTGAGGGCTGTCGATCAAAAGAATAAGATGTCAATTATCTTAGCTAATAAAGACCTTAACAATTTATCGCAAGATCCTCGTCTCGAATCCTATCTTCATCGTTTACCATTTACAAAAAATAAAAAATAATAATATTTAAAATGAAGAAAGAAAAATCATTTAATTAATGAATTTGTTTAACTCCCCAATTGGTTTCAAAGGTTCTACTATATACTTTCCATATTAATAAAGAATATTGAGAAAAAAAAATTGTGATGAATTATTAAGCATCTTCTAAACTTGCAAAGAAGAAAGAAGAAAATATTCAATCAATGGATTCAATTAAGCTTGTAGACTACATTAAGCGGCAATCACCCTGAAGGCAACATGAAGCACTACCTAGGGGAAAAAAAACACAAATATGTTGATCCTACTGTCACTCCACTGATCCAGAGATAACCATAATGCAATACATCAGTGAATCTTCAACATTTTAGGAAGTGTTAATCCACAAAAATAATCTTGTATCAGTTGTCGGCAACAGCAGCAGTTCATACTTGCAGCTAAAAATTTCAATTTTAAGAGTTGACACAGAAAAATAACTTTGTCCGAGTGCACCTTTTGTGGTATCAAGTTTTAAGCACAGATAGATGCAGGTTTGCATGCTAGAAAGAGAATCCACTAAGTACAGGACTCTTAATAAGTCTGGATTTTAATGCCTCTTTTCTGGAAAAATCATGATGATTATTTGCAGCTACTAAGAGCAATGGCTTTTAAAATCAAGATAGTTGAAATTGTAGCAAAGCTACTTCAATACAAGATGGTTTGCTGAAATAAATTAGATCAAGCAAAACAAGATGGGACTTCATTCCTAAAATTATTCCTAATATGCTCAAGATCATAAAGCTTACACACCATTGAAAACTGGACATGGTTGCTGAGTAGCCCCCTTCAGAACCCTAGGAAAATTTCTTCAGTCATGCTATCACAGCTCCTACTCTGGCTTGAGGCAAAATTTTGAATGTATTGGACACTCTACTTTGCACCTTGAAGGGGCTATGAGCTGAAAGAAACACATTTCCAAATTCCAGAAGATGTCAATTTGTATCCAGCATACAATAGAAATTTCAAAGACAGTGTAAGAGGAGTTATAAGCCAAAAGAAACAACATTTCCAACTAGTGTCAGCTTGGTAGTAAGATCCAGAATAGATAAGTTTAAAAGGCAGCAAAAATAAAATCCAATTACACTACTGGTCATCTAGATGAACTGGTTATTAAAAGCAAATCCATCTTGGCATGGCGGCATCATCACAACAAAAAATCCCAGCATGACAATGTCATGCATTCTGATTTGTGTTGAAACAATAGGATTGACTAGTAATGTTTTACAAGTAAAACTATTAATGTCGCCAATTTGAGTTGACAGGCAAGTGGGGAGAAGAAACATGTCAAATGAAGAGTGCATGTCCTCTTTATAAAACTATAAACAAGATAAAGATTGAGCAAACAACTTATTCAGTAAGCTAGTGAAGTACTTCAAAGCTTCTTTTCTATCATTACTGTTCCTATAGTGGAAAACAGTGAAAGGAATAAATTGCATTAAACAAGCTTTCCATAAGAATGATAAATAAAAAGATAGTTGTTTCCCTCTTCTGACCAAGGAAATATAGAAAAAAAGTAGGACATCGATTGTACGAGTTCACTTGGGACCTCAAGGTAATTATTCATCCCACTAAAGTTGCATTTTGAGGTTTTAATATAATCCTTCTCTTGACAAAATTGATTTAGCGGTTTAGCTATTATGTACCGTACTGAGAGCAGTTTGAGAGTTCGGTCATATAATGTTGTTGAAATCTTATGGAACCTTTTCTCTTTTCAGTTATGTTTAGCCAAATCCAAATTGATCACATATGTGTATCCACTGGAAACTTAAGAAAGGTTAAATGATCTTCAGAATGATTTCATCATAGCCTCCTTTCAAGAAAACCATTCATATTAAGTGTTCATTGGTATGGAAATTAACATTGAGGATTAGTGGCACCATTACTAAATGATAGATTACATAACAAAATTTGGTGTTTCAAATGAGCTAGATATAGAAAACCATGCAACCAGGATGGACAACAACAACAGACACTACAGGAATCACAATCATCACTGCAGCATTAGCAAAAAGACAAATTCCAGAATTGCCAGTAAAGAACAGGGTTTGTTTACTGAAAATCAATTCTATTGAATAACAATTGGAGGTTATGATGTCTTTTCCAGAGGCAATGGAAAATGCATATAGAAGAACCAAAACAGGTCTTTTGAAAAATTATATATATTCACAAAGTCTTGGAAATGATAAAAAGACACAATGTAAAATACTGAATTATACGATAGGTTATGCCAACTGCACTAACAAAAAAGCAGTCATCATGATAGCAGATACGAAACTAAGATTTCATTACTAGTTACATCAGGTTTTGGCTGGAATAACAGCTCTATCTTTTTTTGTCTTTCGGATCACCTCTCGTAGAAATGTAGAGACTTACCAGGTTGAACCAGTTCACCATCCATACAAAAGTTATCCCACCATAAAGCATATGCAAACTTTTCTAGTGAGCTTTCAAATCAATTTCCCAACACAGGACATGATTCAAAATTACTTATGCATCAGTGTAACATACGCAATATATTCAATTCCATGATGATGTTGCAAGGGTGGTGAAGAATTTTTATGCTGGCTTACAGTTGTTGTGGTGGTACTTTTATCAATTTTGCTGACAGTCAAATAAAGCAGTCTGGTGCCACACCAGTTATTTGTAGTTTACATTGATTTTCCCAATGCTAAAAGACCCTTGGTGTTTTATGCAACACACAAGAAGCTATAAGACTATTGGCATGAACAGCACTTCTGGGGAGAGGAAGGCTATTGAGATGGCACAGCTATAAAATGTGACACAAGTAGCTAGCCAAGTAGGAATTTCCTCATGCACTGAAATGCAATCATTTTCAAGAATCTGAAATATGCTCTATGGATACTGATTTAGCTAATCCATAACGTTTGGAGGGCTTCCAATGCTGGTAAAATACTAAATTTGAAGAATTTGGAAAAACATTCAGGCTGTGAAAGGGGTTGATGACTTCACACTATAGTTGACAAAGAAACAACCAGAAAACCTTTAATGAAGTAAGCAGAGAAAAACAAAAATCCATTGCACAGTGAAAATCAAATATAAATAGCTACACAGAATTCACCAATGAAGAATAAAATTCTATCATTATAAAATTAGCTTACCCTGCATCTCTCATATGGTATTATGCTGTCTTATTTGAAAAGGGGGACCTATTGTACCAAAACATACAAATGTAACATGCAAAGTTGGTTTGTATGGTTTCTCTTCGGTCATGGGATGAATTCTAAAAATAGCCCTTCTACATTTGCAGATTTACCAGAAACTAGTATAGTAAATTTGAAAAATCAGAGAACTGTCAAAGAGAAAGTGGAAGCAATAGTACAAAAAGAGAAAGGGAGAGGAAAAATATAACATACACTAATAAACAGCACCCCAGTTTGCTCAATCTAGCATCAAACCACTGCTACCCTCGCCTCCATCTTGATCAGTGTTGTCCTCGGTCTTCAACCAACCGCAGACATTGCACTCCATAAGATTAGAAAGCACACCCTCAGGGGATGGTGGCAAAGGAGCCAATGTTCCTCCACAGTTGTCTCTGTCACAAACATACCTCACAAAGAAATAGGCATGAGGGAATTTCCCATCCTCATCATCTGCCTCCTCCATATTCTCCATTGCTTCATCTCCTTCATCCTCTTCCATTCCTTCCTCCTCCTCCTCTCCTCTTTCATCGTTGACATCATCATCATCCGACCAATCCTTTTCCACCACACATCTATCACACTCGCATCGGAACCCATAATCCTCAAGGAGCCTCCTTTGTCTCTCAGCATAACCCCAATTCACGGGGAAATAGCTCAAGCACACTTCTCTGCCCTCAGGAATGTCATGGATCGCCCTCACGACGATGTCAGAGTTCCTCTCCCCGCCGTGATCGACGTAATCAAACCTGCAAGCGTTCGGCAGGCAGTCATGGTTGAAAAAGGAGGCGTTCGGGTAGATACCGTACGCCCTCACCCTCCTATCCCCACCGTCGAACGGCTCCATCAGCCCAAAGGCGTTTGCTTTGTCCTTGGCGAGGAGCGTGGCGGTGAGTTCAAGAGAGAACCCGGAAGGAGGCGAAGGGAGGACAGAGGAGAGAAGGGAGTGCAGGGCGGGGGCGTCGACGTCCGCGGCAGCGGTGCCATGTACGGAGAGGAGGCGAAGGAAGTCGGAGGGGGAAGCGACGGCTAGGTCATAGGCACCGAGGAGGAAGAGGGCCGGGGAGAGGAGTTCGGAGGCGAGGGAAGCTGGGAGGCGGGAGAGGGCGAGGCAGAGATTCGGGGAGTGGGAGGCGAGGCAGCGGGCGGAGCAGAAGGAGGAGGCGGCGGGGGAGGCCGAGCAGTGGGAGGGGCAGCGGATGGGGGCTGAAGAGGGGGAAGAGAGGGATCGAAAGCAGCGGGAGCAGGCGGCGGCGGCGGCCGAGGCGCTGGCAGGGTAGAGGATGAGAGGGGCGTCGGAGAGAAGGATCTCGCCGGGCTTGATGGGGCGGGTGGCGACGAGAGCGCGCCCGCGGTCAGGGAGCTCGGCCAGCTTCACGAGCGGTTCGACGGAGGTAGAAGACATGGGCTGGGTGGTTGTCTCGCCGCTCCCTGCCGACTCTGCTGCCCCGCGACCGCCGACGGAGAGTTTGGTCGAGCGAGGTCGCTCGATGGGGTTTAAGCCTGTAAACGTGGATTTACATATGTAACCCTAACAGATTCCAGAATCTCACATTTACCATCCGACATGGTCAAAGTCAAAATAAAAATGAAATGACTAAAATGCCCATATTTAATCAGAATTTAATTGGACTGAGATTTAGTTTCGTGTACTTAATAATACTTAATTGGGTTTGAGTTCGAGTGAAATAGAATTCACTAATATTTTTTTCTTATTAATTTGATCCATAAAATAAATCGGATTCCTTTAGTTGATTTTAAAGATATATTAAGTATTATATTACTGGAGTTGAATTGGAATTCATATATGATAAAAATTCATGGATATAATATTATTTATTATGTTTCCTGATTAACAAGCAAGTTTTACAGGTTTAATAGCCATACCACATGCGTGCGGGAATCTAAAGGTCTCCTTCTCCCTCCCTCGCTCCCCTGGAACGGTTACGGATGAAGGCAGGCGGCGCGGAGGATACGACGCTGCTTCCACCCACTCGCCCCCTCTTTTGTTTGTTGCACTCTTTAGTGTTTAATTCCAGCATACCATTTCTAGATCTGATTTCCATCCTGTTTCATACGCAGCTTTGCCTTGTGCTCGGAATTGTTTGTTTTCCATAATCTGAAATCGGAGTAGGCAAGTTGATGCTGCTGTATACTGTGTTTCGATCCGTGGTGTTGTCTCCGATCGTTGGCTGTTGACCATCCCATAACAAAAGCACATCTGGGCATCCGATCAGAGATGTCTCGGATCGAAAAGCTTCAAAGGAGCAGGATCCTCGCCTGCGTCCAGGCACTGCGCTGTGCAAGACACGCGAGAAAGGACGACGTCCCTTGCCAGATCGAGGAGGTAACATGAGACGAGAAGAACAAGCCAATCCGAGTTGATTAGCTGTTCCAGGATTTCTAGGTTTTGGAGCTGATGATGATACTTTGACATCTTTGCTCGCTCCATTTGCCTCAGGGCCTGTTTTTGGGTTCCGTAGGCGCGGCGCTTAACAAGTCAGCGCTGAAAGACCTCAACATTACCCATCTCTTAACCGTGGCCAAATCGTTGGACCCTGCGTACCCTAACGATTTCATCTATAAGAAGATTGATGGTATGATAAATCCTTCTACGCATCGTAACTTGGTTGATTGCAAAAACCACAACTAGAAATTTCTTTGACTATATTGCCTTGTCAATGTGCACTTTGATTGCAATATTGGGTGTCTGTGATGGCCAATATCTTGTTTGTGTTTATTGTTTGGATACCTCTAAAGTGGTTTAAAATTTGCTCTGTTTACTATCTGTTATTAACATTCACCACTTGATTTATTATGCTGTTTTTATATGTATATATTGAGACTTCCAGTGTCATTCAAGAACAAGTTCTGGTTATTTAAGGACAAGTTCTCGTAATTTACTGATAATCAGTAGTCACTAGTTTAGTTCTTCATTGTAGTTATATTTTCATTTTGTTTTGAGTCTTCAAAGCTGTCCCACAATTGCTGCTGCTAAGTTTTGTGTATGATCATGCTCTACAACTGTGCTCCCTGGTTTCATCATAATGACAATTTTATTTTGATTTGGTAGGCCCTATTCTTCTCTCTGTAAGAAATCTAAGAAGGAACAGTTTGTAGATGATTGAAAGTCATTTCAGTTATTTATGTTAGTTATATTTTCACTATGTTACAAGCCTTTTGTGGTGTTATCAGATGAATTGGTCTCTTGCCTATATAATCTCTTCTACCATACTTTCTTTTTCCTTTTTCATGTTACTAGTTTAGAAAACTACGACTTCTATTATTGCTGTTGTTTGGCCAAAGTTGCCCTAGTTGGGGCTGTTAGCTTCACTCTCATTTCTATACTTTTTCCACTCTACTTATAATGAGAAATTGTTGTCCTAAAAATTTCCATCCAGGGATATGACAGTTGTCGTTTCTTCTGTATCTGTCACGAAATCAATCTGAACAATGTTACAAGGAGGCCTGTAATAAGTGTTTCTCTAATACGGTATTTTAAGAGCTCTCTCAAGCTATAGTTACAAAAATTAATCTACTAAACCATGCAAAATTTATTGCATGAAGGGGAAAAAAGTTGCAAGCACAATCTCTTAAGAGTTACAAGCTTTTATTATTATAGTCATGTAAAGAAAGCTAATATCATTACTCTCCAAAATTCTGCTAAAAGAGGCACTTATAACTTTCAAAGTGCTAAACTTATTGCCAACTAAGAACTAACATGGTTATTGGAGTCATGATAGGACTCCTTTTGCCAACTAAAATTCTTCTAGTCATCCCTTCATGGTGTGGCTAGGTAATTTTGCTTCATCTCCATCTTCCAGTTGGTAATGCCTGTAATTTAATCTGGTGAAGGTTCAATCCTTCCAGTGACAGTAAAATATCAAGATTGCTGACGATGCTTTCTCTGAAACTGATATATGCAAATTTCTTTTCCTTTGATGAATACACAATTTATTCTAGATTATGTAGAATTATTGGTCTAATAATCTGTATCTTTTGTTTCTATCTAGTTCTTGACACCCCAAGCACAGAGTTGGATAAATATTTTGATGAATGCTTTAGTTTCATTGATGAAGCCAGAAGTGCTGGTGGTGGTGTGCTGGTTCATTGCTTTGCAGGAATGTCAAGAAGGTTAATGTATTGTTTCTTTTTTTGCTGCTTTTAAACTCTGTGAATTGAGATGGACTTACCATTGAGAAGAACTGAATAATAGATTCAAAATTACATTGTGAATTCCAAATTCCAAAGGCTGTTATCATTCTGCATGAAGCTGATTTCTAGATACCAATCAGAATTTCACAACTGAAATATTTTTTGTAGGACCCCATAATTAGATCAATGCAATGGCTGAGTTCCTCAAAATAACCGAGGAGATTGTGAGTGCCATTCATATTTTCATGTACATTTAATAAATTAATTTAAGCTTCCTGTATGTGTAACATGTTGCATCTTCGAATTGATTACCATGAAAATGTAAATGTCACAAAGATTTGATCAACCAGCTTAATGAAAGACCGTGTACCTCCTAATTTCCTAAAATGTCTGGAACAATTTTTTTTCTCATTGAGGAATATAATAGCTGAAAGTGTGTGTATCTCCTCAAGGAGTAAAACAAGCTGCATGACAAATTTCTTTTTGCATTAAATGGGAACTTTATTGATTTAGTAGTAGTGATTGCCAATACAAAGTCTGGACAAGATCTATATACAAGTCCTTGTAAGAAAGCCCCAATGATGATGGTTCCGATGGAGATCCATAATTTGTGTATATTATCTCCTTGTCACATATCCTAGGTTTTGTATGATAGATTTGGTTCTCATACGTTCATATAGAGAGCATACCACAGTTATATTCGGTTCAATGTAGTGTGTGGTATGGGCAGCCTTGGTTGCTTTATTTGAGCATCATTTGTTTGTGTTTCTTTGTTTTACTTGTAATATCACACATGTATATATTTTATTTTTTTCCCCTCAAAGGAGTATCCAGTCTAAACAACACTCTCATTATACAGATTGTCCTAAAATTAAAGATTGTCTTTTTGCTGTTGCATTGGAATTCTTACATGTGGTGCGTGGTTCAGTATCTTAACAGAAAATCCGAATTTTTTGGGCTTGCTAGTTGCTCTATGTAGTGTTTCTCTGAGCAGTAATATATGAAAGAATTCAAATTGATGTTAGTTGTTGTGAGTGTAGTATGCAAATTCTAAATATTTGAAAATAAATAACTTATGTTGTTTTTAGGCATGTTAGGCAATCAACTAGCTGCTGATGGGCTTTATGTATTTCTTTTACAGTGTCACTGTTGTTGTTGCTTATGTGATGAAGAAGCATTGGATGAGTCTTTCAGATGCATTGTCACTAGTTAGGAGCAAACGACCTAATATAGCTCCTAATCAGGGTTTTCTGATCCAATTGGAGAATTTTGAGAAATCTCTTGGAGGTAACACAAGATGTGCTTCTTTTTTATTTGAGATTTTATGAACTCAGATTTTGTTGGCATCATTATTTCTGTTTCTTTAGCATTTATAACAAGAATTAGTGATTTATCAAATTATATTTTCATGTTGATTTGTTTTTGTTTTCTTTTTTACATGAAGATGTTTCCATTGGTTCAAAGATAATGGAACAAAAATCTTAGGGGAAAGAATAAAACACCATGAGAGCAGGATACTTGATTCACAGTGGTGTGAATGAGTTACGAGTGCACCCCAGTTTTTGTTTGTGTTATTAAAAGACATTTTCTATTTGCTGCTTTCAGAATTCAAAAGCGAGAAAGAAACCCAGATTGTTAAACCTTTTTATCATCTGGATAATGGTGCTGAATGATGCCTGTGCTAATTAAATGCTGGCCAAAAAAAATTTTGTGCCTGGTGCTGGTTTTCAAGCAGTGAATCAAGATACATGTTTTATCTGAGTTGGACCAGAAGTCGAGCTTTGGAGGTTTGTTTTACTTTGGAAATATTTCATTTATCAGTTACGGTATATTTCATTTGCCATTTTTAATCCTGAGTGAGCCATTATTGTTCATTGGTGATTTGAAGTAATAATTATGATGAATAACATCAGGCATAAGATGTTTCTGTATCTGCTGACACATCCGGATTGGTTAATGCATTATTGTACAAAATGATAGGTTTTATAGCCTGCAGATTACACTCTATTCAAGTAGGACTTCAGATTACTTTGTCCACATTTTTTGTGATTTGTGATACATGATAATTTCCTATGTTGACTATGTGGAGTATTGTACGGTGACTCTAATCTTATTAGCTGTGAACAAGTTGATTTGTTGGGACGACAAAAATTGCTCATGACATTGATGCTATTTTTAGACCGGAGTATAAAGCATTGCTTTGGACTTTCGATTTTAGTTGCAGATTGAATTTTTTTTACATACAAAATGCTAGAAAATTTCATGTGTTCTTAAATCACATCCAGCAAGTTGTGAGTACATTAATATGCCTTCTCATCGTGTTCTTTAGGACAAACACGTGTTTGTTAGTGGATCAGGAAGAAGGAGACGGGAGAGATCATATTGAATCCATTCTAAATTCATAAACAACCATGACAATTATATAACTATTTATAAAAAATCATAAAATTTGGATCGAATCAGCCAATTAGACTGCGTTTGGGAACACCTTTTAACGTGCAATTGGAGAAAAGAAGAGTTTGAATGAGTTTGCTGTTGTGAAAAACTTTGGGTGCTTGGTAAATAATGGATGAAAATTATATTTTAAATGAGTATTAGCGTAAGTATTATTTAGTAAAATTATATTTTAAAAAAGTTCATTAAATATTTTTTAATAAATTTATCTTCCTAATATTTTTAATATTTGTTTAAAAATAAATACATATTTTTATTTAAATAAATAAAATAAATAAATGTAATCTTATAAATTTTTATATGGCTCAAATATATAATAACTAAAAAATATATTATATATATAATTTTAAAATAAATAAAAAATAATCTTGTAGAAAATATAAATAATATTGATTTATCACTAAATCATTTTAATAATTTTAAATTTTTAAATAAAATTATAAGATATTTTTAAATTTTAAAACTTTTTTTTGGTAAGTAAAATTTTAAAAAACTTGTATTAACATCTCACAAATGCTGAAATACTAATGTTACCTCGGGGTAGTATCAGCATTTAAGTATTTTTAATATAATATTCAAGTCAAATATGATTTTTAAAAATATTAAATATTAATTTATATTTGAAATATGTATTAGACCCTTAATGTACATTTCCCAAAAAAAAATAAAGTCAACCTACCTCCATATTATGCTTTAAAATTCGTACGTATTTACATGCCACATGGGTTAAATAACGGTAACGTACCTAACTGTTTAGGCTTATTTACCCGTGATAACGGTCTTTCTATAACGGCGCACAGGCGTCCATCGGATGAGCGAAACGATAAGTGGAAGCGGGAAGACGTTATCCTCGCTTCCATGGCGCTGGTTCTTCCGACCGCTTCTTTGCTTGCTTATTTGCCTCATAAGCTGTTCCTCCAAACCCCTGTCAAACTTGGCCGCCCCCTCTATCTCCTGCCATGGCCGCTGCCGTCACTTTCGCCGCCCCCGCTCTCCCCTCCCTCCACTCCTCGTCCTGTTCTCTACCTCCTCTCACTCACCGCTCTCTCTCCTTCGTCGCCTTTACCTCCCCGACCATCACTAAGCTCTCCTTTCATCGTTCCTCGAGACGCTTCTCTTCTGCTCCCTCCACTTCCGTCTTCTCCATCAAAGCTGCCGCTGCTGCCGCCGACAAGAAGCGGGTCCTCGTCGTCAACACTAACAGCGGCGGGCACGCCGTCATCGGCTTCTACTTCGCCCAGCAGCTTCTCAGCTCTGGCCATGAGGTCACCGTTCTCACCGTCGGAGATGAGAGCTCCGACAAGATGAAGAAACCCCCCTTCACCAGATTCTCTGTATGTCGTCCTCCTTCCTTTGTTCCCCCATTCTTTGATTTAGGTTTGTTTCTGCTAGATCTTTCTTCTCTTATCGTTAGTTGATCTCCAAATAGGACTTTGGGTGATTATGCAGGAATTGGTGAGCGCTGGGGGCAAGACAGTGTGGGGCAACCCTGCGCAAGTGGGCGACATTGTTGGCACGGCCAAATTTGATGTTGTTCTTGATAACAATGGCAAGGATTTGGACACTGTGAAGTGAGTATTTCTCACGATGCTCCCTTTGCATTCAGAACAAATATAACCAAGTTATCATCATATTATCTTACAAGTTTTATGCAGCTCATGTCCTGATGTTGTTCTTGATTTGGACACTGTTGTTTCCAATGCCCAAAAGCCTCTGTCGATTTATTCCATATTACTGAAAACTAATAAACTATTGCATAAAAGTTTCGTCTATTGCAATACTAACTATGAATTTTAGGCCCGTTGCGGATTGGGCTATATCTGCTGGAGTGGAACAATTTCTCTACATTAGTAGTGCTGGAATTTACAAGCCATTGGATGAGATCCCTCATGTTGAAGGGGTATGCAGTATAATTTAGACCCCTTGTTACCTATGGTCAATATTTTTCTTTGGCATACTTGTTTGCAGGGAAGTTAACATCAGGTTTCTTTTAACATGGCGTTGTCCTAGGCAAAATCCAATGGCACTTTTTGCCATACCACATATATCAACATATTGAATAAACAATAATAGATTTGTGTCAGAATTTAATCTCTGCTTTAGCAGCTGAGCTCTTCAGTGACTCCTCGAATTTTTTTGTCTACCTTTAACAGCTGAGGTCGACTCTAATTTTTGTCTCTGAATTATGCTTGGTGTTTGTGGTGATCATCTTATGGAAAAGCATCTACTGACAAATGCAGGATCTTGTCAAAGATGATGCAAGTCATGTATTGGTGGAGAAATATATGGCAGGATTATCTTTTAGTAGCTGGGCAGTGTTTCGTCCACAATACATGATAGGATCCGGAAACAACAAAGATTGTGAGGAGTGGTTCTTTGATCGTAAGAAACCCTTCACTTTATTTTTCTCTGTCTTCTTTTGAAATGTCTTAAGCTAGTCTATGTCATTTTTTAGGTATATGAATGCTTTATAAGCAAGGAGCCAATTCTCATGTATGCATACCTGCTCGTAAAAGAATACATGTGCACGCATATATATGATCATGTGTAAAACAATATTTTTGTCAATAACCAATGTGCTGGCATCCCAAAATCACAAACAAAATGTTGCATGCATCAAATTTTACTCAGCTGCTAAGTGGCCTTGTAATGAATGTAGAAAGGACAATGCTAACTCTAAAAACACCCTGGATCAGATCAAAGGATTTTAAGCTCTGCTCAGTAGAGTGTTTGTCGTGTGAAAATCTTTGCAGTCATTTTTATGATATAGCAAAATCTTGCTTATAATTTGAGTTGACTAGACTGGACAGTTTCCTCTAACTAAACATTACACCTGCATCCTATAAATATTAGCACAATTATGCATCATTTGTTGTTTAACGGATCCTATTTTCTTCTATTTGTCACTGTATGTGAAACTTCATTTTCGATATATGCTATGTTCTTTTATGCAGGAATTGTTCGTGATCGACCAGTTCCAATCCCTGGATCAGGGATGCAACTGACCAACATCGCACATGTAAGGGACTTGTCTAGCATGCTGTCTCTTGCTGTCGAGAACAGCGCTGCTGCAAATGGCAAAATCTTCAACTGTGTAAGTGATCGTGCTGTAACTTTTGATGGATTGGCAAAACTATGCGCTCAAGCAGCTGGCCGCGAACTAAAGGTTATCCACTATGACCCAAAGGCTGTCGGAATTGATGCTAAAAAAGCATTTCCTTTCCGGAATATGGTAATGCCCTTTGGCCATCCTCTCACAAACTCAATCTGACTTTAGCCAAGATGACTAAATTATCTTCTATGCAATGCAGCATTTTTATGCTGAACCAAGAGCTGCCAAGGAGATAATGGGATGGACTAGCAGTACCAACCTTCCTGAAGATTTGAAGGAGCGGTTTGATGAGTATGTCAAGATCGGCAGAGACAAGAAGCCGATGCAATTTGATATTGATGATAAGATCTTGGAGTCTCTTAAAGTCGCAGTTACTGTATAGAGTGCCACTTTCATTGATCTGCTACCAGAGTTTGTGCTTATCATCATCTTGTATGTATCGACGCATATTGATCAAGGATTGTGCATATCATCTACACGCTCTTAAATAAAATTTATGGAGTTGGTAGGTGTTCTGATTACTTGTAGGGTCAAAAGGATCAGTTCTTCTGTAAGCTAAATTTGCATGTTAATGCTCTGGAATGCGGTTGCACTTGAAATTTATATTCTCCCTCCCTCAAGATCCTAATGGATTTTCCTTCTTCTTCCTTTAAGATCAGTAGTTTGGATGAACATTGTGACTTCCTCTGGAACGTAAATAGTTCATTTTATCTGACATGACAATGGTTTCAGTGCCAATTGAATTGGTGTAGACAATCACCCTTCAAATTTTTGGTCCTTCGGCCACGGAGTAATATGTCTACTTCAAACTTCAGGTAAGAGTGTGAGTGGCAGCCGGTTGAGACTTCAAATGTTACAACATTTCATGTTTACTTTAATCTTCAGGTAGTGTGAGTCCCAACTCATGAACAACTGCAACAGTTGATCAATTCTTGTTTGAGTAAAGTTCGACTTTACAGGAGATATTATATTCAAATCCCTTAGTCGAGAATGCTCCGATATAGTTTTTGTAGATATTTTTTCTACTTATGTGCCTGACATCATTTATCAGTACTACCTGACTCTAAATTTATGATATTTTAAATGATCAAAATATATAGTAAGATAGTTTAGATGATAAAGTATCATATAAGTTTCATTTTCATCATTTATCATTTGCATATGATGGATGGATCGGTGCAAATCTTTTCTCATTAGGGCTTATCGGAATTTATGACCGAACTTGAAATAAGTGTACCAATTTATAATGTCGTCGTCGGTCAGCCACTTTCTACACCGCAATTTATAAGCAAGATTTGGATCATGATGTCCTCGAGGGCAATATCGGTAGTACACACTTCAAAAGATCAGCCGGCGTCTCCTATTTAGGTTCGGTTTGTCCCCCATATTTGTTTTCCGACGATCGCCTTCGAGGTAAGCCTTCAATCGCTCTCTCTCTCTCTCTCTCTCTCTCTGTAGATGATGTCTTCCTTTCCACCCGCGTTTGTTCTTGTTTTCTGTGATTTCTTGGCTGGCCTTCTCCCTCCCCTTTTCCTTTGACTGTTGTTGATTCCGGGGTTGATCTTAGTCGGATCGGCTTCTTTCGGATGGATCTTGCCTTTCATTTGGTCCAACTCTCTGGGTGATTGTGTTTGGTCTCGCTCGATCGCGTCTCAGGTAGCCGATTTTTTGCACGAGAGGTGATGGGGAGGGACTCGAAATCCAAGGATTCGGGAGGGAAGGGCAAGGGAAAGCAGGCCGCTGCATCTGATGAGAATGCCTCTAAGGGTAAAGCCAAGGGTGGAAAGTCAAGTGATGGGCTTGGTACCTGCACTTATGTCAAAGGTTGTGGCTTCTTCTCGTGATCATGATTCCCTTTTGTTATAGTTTCCTTCGCAATCAGTTAAGATTATAGTGTATTTTCGTTCAAATTGTGCTTCTTATAATCTGGGTGATTGACGAGCTGTGTATATTTCAGATAATGCCATACGGATTACTGCAGAGTAGTATGTATGTGAAGCGTATAGCTGCTCTCTATGTTGGAATATATACCCGTTATTTGTCATTTGATCCGTTCTTATTGTTCCTTTTGACATAAATTCTGACTTTCATATGGTGTAATTATATAAGCATCCTTCATTCTTTGTAGGACCACAGAAATATGATCCCCTTTTCTGTCCATTTGTTATGTATAGGTTGATGAGTTATGAGGCTTTTTTTTCTTTCTTTGTTTCTTTGCTCCTCTTCTATTGTTGAATTTTCAACTTTTCTTTTCTTTTCTTTTTTTGGGTTAACTGATTAAAGAAGCCCTAAAACTGTAAGCTTGAAAAAAAATTGCTTTTGTGCAAATTTGAGTATTGATTTGTCCATTATTTCGCTTTTCTCTTTCTCCAACAATTAAATATAGGAGTTCTCCTATCTGTAATGTCTCATATAAAGGAATTACTGACTCAAATTTTTAATAGCTATATCTGATTTCAAAAGTCGATTTTTAAGTTCGTGATGCATATTTACGTGTATAAATGATCAACCAACTTTTTTTTCTTAGGAGAGGTGCATATGCACAATATTTTATGTTTTTAGGAAAATGATAGTAACTAACAAGGTATCTAGATCCTTATCTGTGGGATTATAAAGAAATGAGGACTTACAAGCATCAAAATATCACGAAGGACTCCAGATGAGTCCTACAGCAACACCACCCCCAAATTACAAGGAAAAAGAATAAAAAAACTACAACTTGTCCTACACCAAAACTTTCCTATGTATATCAGTTAACTCTAACATTAATTACATAAATATATGTAGTTTAATAAGTTTTGGAATAGAAAATTGGCTACTTGATTGTGGGATTGAGTATATGATTTGTATGTCGGGCAGTTTTTGTATGTCCTGGCTTTTGTTAGTGTACATTTCAGTATTACTGTTCACATTCTTTTCATGGCAAATGGAAGGTTTTTCATATAACATGTTCAATACTTGATCACTTATTTGTTTAGACTTGGTTTGGCATATGATATTTTTGTTATTAATATGCTTAAAAACCCTATGATGACACTCACATATGGATGCTTCATTTTCTTTTGGCTGATGACCAAATACTAGTTTGATATGGAAACCTGTTGGTGTTTTCTTATTCTTTAGATATTCACTTCCCTTTGGTAGTTTAATTAGGGTCGATACATCTTCACTCTAACTTGATGAAAATTGTTATTGACCTTGATTCTTATTTTTCTGGTACAAGCCATATTTTTTGTATCATTGATATGCTACTGACTTGAGTTATACAGTGTGTTTAATGTTTGGCTTTCTTTTTAGTTAAAATCTTATTTTTGTTATAAGAACTTGTGTTATTGAATACTATTGGCACATGTATAGGAACAGGAACTAGATTAACTATAATGTCCTGTTCTACTAGTTAGAAAGGCATGGGCTTCTATCAGTTCTTTGTGGGATACAAGGAGACATCTCCTTTCCCACGGGGGTGCAACTCTTGCTTTGGATCAAGTGATCAATCAATTTAATTAATTCTGATTAAGTTTGTCTAATCCATCTCCCAAAATATCAGGATAAGCTGAAATCAGCCAACCCTTGGTCAGTCCTGTTTATTTCTGGTTTTGCTCGTGTATTGGCTTCTGGTGAGCTAGCGGCTGATATGGATCCATCTTGGCAAATTTTCTATCGATTACCTTCAGCTTGCTGAAAATTTTGGCAAATTCAATTACCTTCAACCACCAGGAATGTTGCTAGAGACTCTTTTTCTTGAACAAGTTTGCTATAGTAGAATATACTAAGATTTTTTAAAAAATAAAAGCATCGTCCGATGTAAACTTACACTAATCTGGTTATGGAAATCTATATGGGCATCATGACTATGAAATGGGCTAATCTTTCCTATCTTGCAGCATTTGCTTACTGTATTTTGGTTTAACAATGCACAAGAGACATATGGTACCAATTTAAGCAATTAGTATCATTTCATTCACAGTGGATGTCTTAATAGGTCTTAATAAAGCCATTAATTGCATTTCAGCACGGCACATATTATGTGAAAAGCAAGGCAAGATTAACGAAGCATACAAGAAGCTCCAAGATGGTTGGTTAAGCAATGGAGACAAGGTTCCCCCTGCTGAATTTGCAAAGGCAAGATCTCTGTTTTTTCTACTGAAATTGTGTCTATATCTTGTGAGAGTGTGCAGTTCTAGCTTAGATAGTTTGGCAGAGCAACGTGAGACAGTTGAAATCCTTCTATTGTTTTATGATTCCCTGCTCCATTTGCTTTATCTGTTCTGCTTTTGTGTTTCTTTTTCTCTTTTGGCTAGATTCTTTGTGCTTATTTTTTTCATTTTCATTTTTTTCTGTATTATTACATTGAACTTGAAGTATGTGTCTCCTTCATATTTAGTTGCATTTTCAATGAATGATCAAGATAAATCTTCAGTTGTTAATATTGTGACGTATGTATCTTTTTGGAACTTAAACTTTAAACATTTTAACATTTTTTTTGCTTTCTATTTAACTATTTTAAACTGAATTGAGTTGGGCCATTGCACAGTTTGAAATTTCCTTTGCTTGAGCAACTTATGAATAAGCAGAAAATTTGACAGTTTTTCACACATCTAAGTTTGCTTGCCTTCTTATTTGCAACGAATCACCAAGTTATGCAACATGGGAGTGGTTTATGGTGACGTTCTCATTCAAGTTGCTTGCATAGTTGCATTCTTTGTCTGTGCTTAATCACCGAGTTATGCAACTTGGAAGCAATTTCTGGTGCATAAGGAAATTGGAACTTTACCAACATGATAGTGAGAGTCAGATTTCAAAGTTTAACTACTTAATATCAGTTTCAGTTCAGCTTGGATTACTGCTTGTTGATTGATTCTATCAAACTTATATTGAATTGTTTGCTGGTCTATGCAGCATCTTGGCTGAGTTTGATTGTTCTTTGGGTATTGATATGATAAATTGAGATGAAATATTAAATTTCAGTGTTAGTCTTAAACTGGTTTGCAATATCACATAATTCAATTCTGTGGCTTATTTCAAATCTTATATGTATTTAGATATAACCTGTTTAGATCATTCCTTTTTCCAAGAACATGTTAATTTGCTTTCTATATTATGCTTTCACTTTTTTCTTGAGAAAATTCTTTTGGTCTGGTCTCTTTGTATTTGTACTACAACTGCTACTTGTAGACCTTCATATCTTCTCAACAATATTGGAATAGATATTTAAAGTTGGTTTATTCCTTGCACCTTTATCATTTTAATAGTTTGATGTGTACTGCCAAATGCCTCTCTAGAATGGATTTTGTAGATAAAAAAAGAGTGAGGGTTTCTGCCTACTATCTTGCCAGGCCAAACTTCTTTTGGCTCCATTTAAACTAATTATAATATTTTAGGGGTATCTATGACAATGGGGATTTAGAGGGAAACCATGAGTCGTAGAAGTTCTGTTTTGATGGATTATCTTGAAGCGCATTAAATGTCAAGTTTGGTTTCTCTTGAAGTGTTCTGCTAGTTTGTCTATGTACAGTCATTATATCACAAAGAATTTTAATAGTACCACTGTCGACGTTATTTGTTCTCTTTCTCCACTATAAAGGTTATTTGTTTTTTTCCTCCTAAATGCATAGTCATAGATGTGCTTCGAATACATTAAATGTTGGAGGAATTACTTTTTTCTCGCCTTGTGCTGGCTCTGTTTCAGGTGGCCACAGAGTATTCCGAGTGTCCATCAGGAAAGAAAGGTGGAGACCTGGGATGGTTTCCTAGGGGTAAAATGGCTGGTCCTTTTCAGGATGTGGCATTTAATACACTTGTTGGAGCTACCAGTGCACCGTTTAAATCAACGTATGCCAACTGACTAACTTCTCAGATTTTATCATCCAACCTCTACATGTCTGTTGTGCTAGAAGTTTGATATATTTGGTTTGGATGTTGTTATTTTTCATGCTTTAAAAGTGGTTATGAAAAATTTGCTTATGTTATAAGGTAGTATTGGTTTATAACCAAAATATTGGACACTAATGCAGGCATGGGTATCACATCATTCTGTGTGAAGGGAGGAAGAATTGATCCTTGGATGGCTTTTGTCTACAGACACTTCTTCGGATATGGAGGGAACTAGTAGTATGCCCATGATCTTTTCCTAAAAGTTCATAAACTCATTTGAGGATGAGATGAAACTTGATACTGCATAAACTTTGGAGATATGTAAATTATGAGTAAACATCAAGTTTAGTTTACTGTTAATTGCATCGAGGTAAAAGTTTGCTGGTGGTTCCATATTTTATTTTAAAAATTATTTTAGTCAGCAAGTTAATTGGAAAATATATCACGAAAACACTGATACTGTGCATAGGTTGACCATTCAAGTGTGACCCTTGTTGTAAAGCTTGGTTGTTACATTGGTCAAACTATGAACCATGACCAGAGTCCATTTGTTTCAATTAGGCTTAGAACTGGTTAGTGTTTCTATCAAATTCTCAATGATTCTATAAATTCACAAATTAAGATATATATATATATATATATATATATATATATATATATATATATATATATATATATATATATATATATATATATATATATATATATATATATATATATATAT